TGCTTATGATTTTCACAAAGCTTAATGATCTTTGATTGTATCTCTATTATGTTGTTCATGTAGGGAACTATTGAAGAATAATTTGGTTGTCAGTGCGCTGTCCATCCAATTCCATGACTTAAGGAAAATCTAAGGGTTAATTAGTGTTGTTCACGGTTAATCTGGGGCGTTTAGGCTCATGGTTTATTGGAAAAGCAACTGGAAATCAATTTGTATGCAAATGTGTTATGTGTAGAGAAGGACCCTCTAGCTAGCCAATCACCCATCAATTCACCCAAATTCGTATCCCTTTACTTAGTTTCTGCAATTTGTTTGTTTAAGTTTTAAATTTTTCATCCAATCCCCTTTACTTTTTTGTGTCAAATTAGTTAGAATATGTCCAAACTTGTGTTTTTAAGTGTTTTGAGTCAAGTTAAAATTAATTTTCATCCAAATCACCCTTTAGTGTCTAGTTTGAGGCTATTTGATTATTTTGTGTTGTTTTGAGTCTCTTCAGTTTGTTTTGAGTACTTTGAGTCTAGTTAAGTGTTTTCAAGCCTAGTTTTGTGTTTTTGAGTCAGTTTTAAGTAGATTAGCAATCCCTCCTAATCCCCGGCCTAGAACGATCCCTACTTACATCTTTACTACACTTGTCAATAAGAGGGTTTAATTTAAATGCTAGTTTTTAACACATCAACTTCTAAGTGATGGCATAACTTGAACAACCTCAACTTTATGGGGCACCCAAGCTTTCTCAGATTTAGTTTTCATATCACGTGCAAATATATTTCCACGTGAACTAGTCTTTGTGCAAGTCACAATTAAGGATTTAATAAAGCAACGGTCATAGTTTTAGGGCTAATAAAGCAAAAAAAAAAAATGTTTCTTTAATTTCAGCAAATTAAAAAACATCTAAACTATATCCCATTAGATTTGACTCCCTAAGACAAGTTCAACGGTGTAAACAATATCCCCATATACCTAGCAGTACCAGTGTACTCGCCTAGGCCAAGAGTGGAAGAGAAAAAACCACTATTCATCTTCTTTCTCATGAAATTTGGAATTTCCATATTTCGTGTTCTCACGAAGCTTGTTTACAAAGGCCATAACTTTGTCAATATGCATCCGTTTTATGCATATTTTATGTCGTTAGCAATTTCAAATGAATGTAAAGAATATATCCCAAGCATTAAAAATCAAAAGAAACAGGCATGCCAAAAACGAAATTTTAAAAGCCAGCATCCATGATTTTTCAACATTCCTAACATGGCATATTCATAAATATCTCAAGCAATCGCGCGAAGAGTGTGTGAGAGGCTCTGATATCAATGTTGGATGAATATATGTACCTTTGTGCAGAAGCTTGAATCTCGACACACTCCTACAAACACGAGCAAGTGCTTTGTTCTTCTGTGCATGTCTAGAACCTCAAAGGTCATCAGGTTGGCTACAGTATGTCGAGTTGCTGTAACAACCCGAAATTTCTAATTCAGAAGCTATTACTTAGATAAGCCCCAAATTCATTTTCTTAGCAACTTTCACTAAAAGATTAATCTCAAGTATTTTATTATGGCTGCATCTAACCTTCTCATTAGACTGCCTACGTACCCTACTAAGCGATCAAACCATTCATAGTTCACATTACGCTTTTAGAACAACATACTAAAATTTCATTTCGATCCAACAGTCGGATCTCTGCCAATGATAACATTCGAGTGGCGGTTGATGTTTTAATTTACTAAATTGCAAATCCAATTCGGGAAAATCCGTACGTCGGTTTCTCAATCCATAAGTTCTTAAGGTTCTCAAATATTATGTACTATAATGTTTCAAAGTTTGATGACGATCCAAAGGTTAAATGGTCGTTAATTACGAAAAATAGTACGACGGTACAATTATCCAAAAATTTGAATATTCGAATCATCGCATCAAATTTCAACGAATGAACTTTAGATATGGGCTCAAGACATCAAGGATGTCCCGTTGACCAAAATCCTCAAGACATCAAGTGTGACATCCCACATCGCTCAGGGAAGTGATCCTTAAATGTATATTCTCATCTCTACCTAGCACGAGGCCTTTTGGGAGCTCACTGGCTTCGGGTTCCATAGGAACTTCGAAGTTAAGCGAGAAGGGGGCTAGAGCAATCCCATGATGGGTGACCCAATGGGAAGTTGCTCGTGAGTTCCCAAAAACAAAACCGTGAGGGAATGGTAAGCCCAAAGCGGACAATATCGTGCTATGGTGGTGGAACGGGCCCAGGAAGTGTTCCGCCCCGGGCCGGGATGTGACATCAAGGATGTCCAGTTGACCAAAATCCAAGTAAACATATTCTCCCCCACGCGCCGCCATGCATGGTGGTTTCCGACGACCGGAACTCACTTTTTTGTCTAACTCCAAATTCTACCAAAATTTACAAGAAGATAGAGCTCAACAAGATGAACAAGTTTTATACCTGCCACGAAGTCCAAAAGTGGACGGAAGAGGGTCAATTCCCCTGATAAAACTGGCGGGTACCTAAAGCTTCCTGGTGTTGATTCGTCGCCCACAGTGGTCCAACGGGACGATGCGCTACAAAACCCAACTGGTGGCATCGGCCATCGCTTTGCCGATTCACCGGAAAAATGAAAATGGTGGCCGGAACATCATTGGTTTTCATCGATTTTTATGGCCTCACACCGCTACATACGATGGCTAATCAAGGTGGTTCTTGTTTGGATTTTGTAGAGGGGAGTGAGAGCTTTAAGATGGTGGTGGTGGCCTCGAAAAAATCGATCGGAGTTGGCCAGAATCGTCATAAGAAAATGGGATGTCTTAGGAGTCAACTGGGTTGAGAATTGGGTTCGGGTTTCTAGGCCTTTTGGGTCAGTTTTCCTTTTTCTAGAAACTTCCTAATTTTGGCTGTCTGATTATAGAGACGTACTATTAATAGTAAGTCCACGTGTCTAAAAGATCTCACTACTTCTGAGACTCGTAACTTCTCCATTCTAACTCGGAATTAAAATCCGTTTGCACCTACACTCTTGTAGGGTCGTCCTCTATTCAAAGATATCAAGAATTACAATAAAATATATGAGGATAAAATACATCCTCATATAATTACGCTAACCAAATAGGGCATTTTTCGTTTTTCCCCACTTAACGAAAGATTATACGACATAATTAATTTTTAATCCAGAACTGGGATTTCACATTTTCCGCATTTGAATTTATCATATTAGATAAATCCAGAACTGGGATTTCACATTTTCATGTGGGTACACTCTTCACCTTATGGAATTTATCATATTAGATAAATCCTAATAAGTGCTTTTTTAATCCAATATGACCACAAAAGTTTGTATTTATATTGGAACATGACTATGGTAACATGGTTTTCACAATTTGTGTAATTATGTGTGTAGGTATACCATATCATTGATTTACTGACTTACACATGATTATCCTGAAATAAGTTAATAACTAATTTTAAAAGAATATGATCGTAGGATACATTAAAAACAGGAAAACTAATGAAAATGGCTTGAAAACTTTGAGTTTTAATGATAAGAACAAAACAAAGGATAAAGTGAATAGTACCAGGATTGACTTTTTAGTTTAAAAATGTGGTTTTTCGTTAAAGTGAACAGTACCGTAGACTTTTCGTTAAAACTCTCGTTAAAAACATTATATCCATTGGGAGAAGCTGTAACTTCCCCTAATTTTAAAAGAATATGCCTAAAGCTTCCAGAAAAGGTTTTTTCACATATGTACATATCTATACTAATATATAAAGCCAGGAGCCCATTTGGGTCACGGGCCTTACCAAAAAATAGTGAGATAAAAATGCCATCTGAACAAAAAAGTTCAAAAGCAGCCCAAAATAATGCATCAAATAATGCATGAGTAATTTCGTCATGTAAATAGATTTTTTTTTTAAATAATTTTTTTTTAATTAGTATGGTAGTACCTCACAATGGGTTAGTAATAATGTGATTCAATCAGTTATTTTCTTTATTTTTAAATACGTTCAAAACATCTTAAGAGACGAGTAGAGCCAATAATAAAAAAGGCCTTTCACATGCACACAATAATGTGATACAATCAGTTATTTTTTAAATATTATTTTCTCTATTTTTAAACACGTTCAAAACATCTTAAGAGGCTCATAGCACCGGTGATAAAAAAAAAATGCCTTTGGCACGTGCACAATAATGTGATTCAATCAGTTGTTTATTAAATATTATTTTCTCTATTTTTTAGTAATATTTTTTTTTAATAATTAGTACCTCACAATGGGCTAGCAATAATGTGATCCAATCCGTTGTTTATTAAATATTAGTTTCTCTATTTTTTAGTAATATTTTTTAATAATTAGTACCTCACAATGGGCTAGTAATAATGTGATTCAATCAGTTATTTATTAAATATTATTTTCTCTATTTTTAAACATGTACAAAACATCTTCAAAGGCGTGTAGCGCCAGTGATAAAAATGACCTTTCGCACGTGCATAATAATATGATTCAATCAGTTGTTTATTAAATATTATTTTCTCTATTTTTAATGTGAATTCAATAAAATGTAGATGGAAATTGAAAGACTGATTTTATTATGTAGATTCATTTGCTTTGATTGGTTTATAAGGGATTTCTTCTAGCATGGTCTAATATTTCATTTAGTCCAAATATTTGACTTTTTTCTCATAAAAAAATATTAAAACAATTCACGTATATAAATACATTTAAAATGTATAAGTCGCAAAAAATATCTTTTGCCCATGAAGGCTCGTATTATGTATCCCCCAAGTTTCTTTGTCAGAGTCATTCAATTTCAAAATGAAGTTTATTCCCTCTCTAACCCATCCTCACACCATATTGTGATCTCTCTAACTCACCCTCACACCATACTGTGAACAAGTCTCATGTCAAGATATTTGCATTTTCTTATGTGGCTTAGTTTCAAATTTCGTGACCTTTCAGGAAAGTTGTTTACCAACGAGGCAGCATGAGAAGCAAGGAAAAAAATGAACCGTTGAACACAGAACAAAAATCAACCAACTTTGGCAGCGATTGTTTTTCATTAAACAACTGGATGTACGGTTATCCGAAAGTTCAAGTCACGCAAAACTTTTGCCACTCCATATAGTTTTTCTTCTCCACATAAAATCAGGCTGATGATTCTTTTCGTTTCTCTAATTTGCATTCTGATTTTAAAATGGCTCTTGTGTGTTAACACTTCCATAATCCATATGCCAACAATGTAACTATTTCCTCTGCATCCTGAATCTTGAAACTGGCTTTGAAGGTTGAGAATCAGAAGACTGCAACAGTCAAAACAACATTTTAGACAATGAAAAGGCCACTAAAAACATTTTTATCATGTAGTAGCCCAAACTACCTGTGATGTAGCAGAAGTTTGGTTCCTTGAATCTGTCTGTAAATTATGGACACGTTCGACTATAGAACCTGTAAATGCCTGCACAAAAAATAGTACATACAGTAACAACTCAAAAAATAACTAACCGAATTGGTATAGTAATGCATGGGAACATACTTTTTTATCATCGAATTTTGGTTTTGAACTTTGGAGAGTAACCTATAAAACAAGAAAGGACCATTATAACCAAGATTTGTTGCAAACCACCATTTGTGTGTGGAGCCGTCCACATATGAATAAAACAGAGAGTAATGCTAGGTTTACCACATATTTGCACCATCATTTCATTTGTACCATCTTTCTAATAAAGGTAGGGCCTACCAACACATACAAGTCTCATTTGTGTCAGAGAGATGGTACAACCATGCAGTAAGAGTAGCATTTTGTGATAAAACAATGCTCAATGCTTATAGTTAGAACTGGAATTATTCATACAATCGAGGCTCAAATCAAAAGTAATTGCTCTGTACCTGACTCATAGGTGATGGTACAACTTGAACACCCTCAACTTTAGGAGGCACCAAAGCTTTCTCAGATTTACTTTTCATAGCATTCGGAGATATATTTCCACGTGAACTTGTCTCTGGGTAAATCATAATTAAGGAATCAACTAAGTAGTGATCAAAGTTTGAAAATGATACTACAGTAATTGGAGAATGTGGTGTGTGTGCCAAAATAAAACATCATATATCTCCTCATACCAAAACTTGAAAAACCCAGGTAGGGTATCACAAATCTATGTATTAAACAATTTAACATCTTGTCCTGCCAAAATATGACATCTTAGGAATAGAAAGGCGTGTCTTGACTCATGAGCACCTCACAGTACCAGTAGGAGAAAGGAGAATTAATTCTAAAAAAAGAAATTACCAAAAGAAAGAAAGTTCGTCATTCTTGGCAATAAACTTCAAAAGCACATTGGTGGAGAGAGAAAAAGGGGAAAGGTTCTACCTTGACTTAGGGCAAGGTGTGAACTGCAAGGCACTAACACAATTTATCACAGTGTGAGAGAGAGATGTTAGTTACTAACCTTCAGGTATTGATTGCACTGTCAGGCCAGAATGCTGCAATTTTAGTAACGAGATAAATTCAATAACGACAACTAACAGCATATAAGCAATTGAAACATTAACAAACAATTTTCTCAATAACATCTAAGACAAGTTAGGCAACTCATTAGAACAACCAGTGAAACTTTTTTTTTAATTAATATTTTATTTGATTGCTATAAAATTTATAATAAAAATTATATTTCATTCTCAAGTTCAATGACTATATGACCCAGTCAGGCTCTACCCAGTCAATATCCCATTTTACAATTCTATTTGATTCTCGACGTTTATACTAAGAGGTCAGTTTAAAATTTTAAGAGTTTATCCTCTAAACTATACAATTTATAGGTTATGATTTGAAAAGAAAAATTATATGCATCACTTCGAAAGAAATGGTCACGTTATATCAGAAATGATTTATATAGGTAAGAGCTCTTGGTCCTATAAAACATATTGGGACTGCTGGCTCTTCTTGAGACATCCACACCTGTTCTATAAAATTAACTAGCACACTTATTATCTCTACCTACACAAGAGGAACATGAAATGCCATCACTTACACTTCGCTGATCGATAAAACTTTCTTTGATGGGAGCAATTGCATCATTTGTCTCTGGAGGTTTTCTTGGCATTGACTCCTATTTTATCAGTGATTAAAATTGAGTAGTTGGCCATTTTTTGGCTTGGAACAGAAATTAGTCACTACATATTCATGTGTTTTTATTATCATTTCGTCAACGTATCAAGACAAATGCAAAAGATTACCTCTGAAAACTTGTCATTCTGATGAAGAGATTTATGATCCGGAAACTGATGTAAGTCAACTTTGATTTTCTTGTTTTCATCACTGTCATTATCACTTTGCTCTTCTTCACTCACTATCTCACTTTCAGCTTCAAGTTCTTCTTTCTCAAGTTCATCCATCCTGGCCAGTATACGAGCATATTCTTCATCTTCATCTGAAACTTTTGTATTGTCTGCTCCAGTAGAACTAGGAGAATCTTGCTTAAGTGGACCTGGAAAATAATTGACCACAATCACTTATTTGACTTGCAGCAGTGAACCACTTTAGTTGGGTTCTCTTGGCACAAATTTTGATGAGAAGGTCAGGAGAATTCTAAAACCAGCATCAGATACTTCAGAACAATTTGAAAAAATAGGGTGTGTTTTTAATACCTTCCCACAAACGACAAAAGGTTAAGTTATCCCCCAGATGAAAAAATAAAAACAAAAAACAGAACACAGGCCCTTCACCCCAATGCCTAATGAGTATAAATGCAGTCTAAATTTCAACCTCGCTAAAAGTGGATAAAAGATAAGTTTTTTCTTATATGCCAAGGCCAGCAAAAAAAACTAATAAGCAATCCACAATGCAGACAAAACCGATTCAGCCCTATGCAACTTGAAACACATTCTAACTTATTGAGGGGAAAAAGGAAGAAAACCTGCCTAGCTCAGATTCTTCTTCAGAAGAACTTTCCTCCACATAATCTTCCTTTATCTCTACAAGGCCCTCCTGTGGTACAAGAATTAAAAAATACCAAGTTCATATACACACTGATACAAATTCCTTACAATAAACTGAATTTTTAGAGAATCAATTATCTCCGATATAAACACCAACAATTTACAAATTAGCGAAAAAGAAACTTACTTGCTAACCACTAAAAAGAACCTTTCAGGAACCCATAGCTATTGAAAATATATATACATACATATGTAGTTTTTGTTATGCATTATAACTAATAAAAAGCAGTCGCATATGAATGAAACACATTTGCGACATTACCTATCCTGCTGATAATGTTATTGGCAAAGTTAAAAGAAAACTGCTGTTGATTAGTTTAAATTACTTTGGGATGCAAACTTCAATGTAGAGACAATAAGCATTACTTTTTTGGTATATTGTGATTTTATTAGAAACCCAATTGAAAGGTACACTATGTCACACAAGCAAAGAAACAAAATTTCAACCATATTCAAAAACGTATGGATAAGAAAAATTAGAGAGTTAAATTTGGGCATTACCGCGGCCTCAGAGGCTGTAGAGTCAATAAAGGAAGCCTCAAATTTGAGATCAGCAAGAATGGCATTGAGGGAATCCACTTGGGAGTCCAATTCCTTCCCCCTCCTCATCAAAATATCCACTGTTTGCTTCGACGTCCTTTCCGCATAGTAACCTTCCCCTAGCAGAACCTGTAGCAAACAAGTCGCTCAAAAACACCCTGTTTGGCTGCTGTTGAGACAATCAAAACTACTCAATTTGCAATAATAATCTTACCAGAAACTCATTGGTGTGCACCAAACGCCCAGGGAAGAAGGCTGCCTTGCCAAACGGAACCTAAAAAATAAGCAATTAATTTAATTTTTCTAAGGAAAAAAAAAAAAAAGAAGAAGAAATGAGGGATTGGGATTTGGTGGCGTAGGGTTTTGGGTTTACCATAATATCGTGGTGGAGGTGGTCGGGGAGTTTCATGACGAGATTTACGAGGCTCGTGTTGTCGGCGGTGAAGCCTCGGAGGTGGTCGAGCTGCTGCTGCGTCTCGGCGATCGTGTCCTCCACGCGCTTCGCTGCTTTCTGTGCGTCTTCTACGGGGAACAAGGAGGAGAGTGACGTCACAGTTCCTTTACCTTTGGTCGACACTTCCATTGTCGCAGAGGAGGAGAGAGACTCAGTCCCAACACGACGTCGTTAGGAGTTTAAAGATGGTTTCCGCGATGGCTTTGCAGACATTCGGCCGTGGAACAGAGTGGCAGGGGAAAGGAAAACAGCAAAGGGTCGCGTAGAATCACCAACTATGTGGCGATATTTTTGCCGGATGAGCTGTCGAGTTCAAAGCTTCCGCATTTCGTGACACCTGTCTATTTTCTAAAAGGGAACTAATGGAAATAGGTTGGAAATTTTGAGTTTTAATAATAAAGATAAAATAAAAGGTAAAATAGCTTTAGGATTGATTTTTTAGTGTAAAAATATAGTTTTTCGTTAAAGTAAATAGTACCATGGGCTTTTCGTTAAAACTCCCTTTTCTAAACCCAACTTTAACATTGTTAACTCTGTCTGTTATCTTCTAATTAGAACAGGAGGATTCTAGCCGGATTCTCTTTGTGAGGAATTGGGGATCCTCAAATCACATCCGTTCATCATACATCGTGTGCTTAGAAATCATTGTAAATTTTTTATTTAAAAAAATAAATATAAAAAGTAGACAAAAATTGGCCGCGCAATATACAATGAACGGATATGATTGGAGGATCCAACAAAAATCCTTTCTCCTAACTAGACCCTTCATCTTCGCAACCCCACCGCATCTACATCCCTCAACCGTCGCAAATCAAATCTAGAAAAGAAAGCCACGCTCCCAATCCCACCGCCTTTGTCTCTCAAATTTTAACAAACATAAAACTCTACAAAATCCTCTGCACCCAGAAATGACTCTTCTACTAAATCATCTCCCAAATTTTGATTAAATCGATGGTGACGAATCCAATCAATCAGATCTACTAAATTCGACGAAATTGAAATCAAAAGCAAAATTGAAATCAGTCCAAAAGCTTCCATGAAAATACCTGAAATCAAAATTCTAAATTCAAATTGCAAACGTGTTGATGAAAGAGAGAAACAAATTCCAAAGAGGAAACAAATTCCGAAGCGGAATTGGAGATGAGGAGGAAAGGAGGAATTACCTGCTGGGAGAAAGTATAGAGGAGCTTTTGCTTGGTCAAAGGTGTGGAAGTTGCATGAAACTAAGGAGGCAGTGGTTCAAGATTGAGAGAGAAGCAAGGGAGGGAGAGATAGAAATGAGAGCAGGTATGTGAATAAAAAAAAAAAGGAATTCAATTCAATTACGGATTACACTGATGTTTATTAACGTGGGAGGAATCAAAAACCATGTGGGACCCAGATGAATTCGGAAATTTCCTAAAATCCAATTCTAACATGCCCCAATCCCGATATCTCTAAATACTAGGATAGGCACGTGCTGGCCTACACCTGAGGGTGACGAAGTCATTTTAACATGCATGCAAGTTATAAAGGAAGGATGAACGTGACTAAAAATATGTAAAATTAAATATAATGAAATATGCAAATACAGGAACGTGTTCAGAGCATACAATTAATTGAGACTAATACAAAAGGAAAATTATGAAATAAATGAGATTATAAAAAATAAAAATAATAAATAAAAAGAGTTCCACACCGAGGAAACTCAAAAATACCAATCCAAGAATGCCTTGATGTCGGGATCGTACATCTCGATTCTAAGTCCTAAAGGGGGCGCAAAAACCAAAAGGTGGGTAGACCATAATTTATAATAATAGTAATAATATGAAAATTGATTTCTTTCTTAACATACTAACCTCCTGTTTTGAAAACACATATAATACTACATAATAGGTTTTTCTAAAAACTCTATATGCTATAAGATGTTTGTACGATAAAATCATCTTTAAAAGTGATAACGAAACGCCCGAGGGCAAATCCCAAGAATCTCGTAAATCAAGTCAATGAAGTACTCAACTAGGGACATCATAATCGCCCAAAGGCATAACCATCACCCGTAGGTGAAGCTGTACGATACTAGGTTACGCTAGTGAAGAAATATGGTAGGTCCCATCACCCGAAGGTGAAGTTGTACGACTCTGGGTTACGTCAGAGAAGAAATATATAACATAACACACCGACACTAGCTGTGGCTAGTGAAGCTGTCTGACATTGGTTTTGCCAGTGAAATTGGGAGTATGTCATAAATATCCTTAAATGTGTCATATGGCCATAGACGTCTACATACTCAGGTTGTGTGTATGTGTTGTATGATCACACACTAGATAAGCACCGAAAACATAAATTATAATCTTTCCAAATCATCGAAGCTTAAAAGCTCAAAGCATCAATTCCTAAACCATAATAAATCATGTTTGTAAATCCATAATATTTCATCCTGCAATATCTTTGGTTTGGCTAGCTTTCATTTTTTTTATCAAAGTCGGTTGTCTTAACGTGTAAATCCAATAATTCATAACCTTTCGTAAAACATAATTTGATAAATCATAAATAATGCATAAGTAAAATCATGAAATCATGCTTTTTGTGAATGCAAGTCTAGCATTTAATAAAAATCATGCAATTTAAGAAAGGCACACTCACAAATATTCTGCTACCGAGGAACTGATCAAACTAGAAAGGACGAGATCACTTCCAACCAACGCACAAATAGGGACCATTTATTAAAACTCTACTAAAATGATCGAATTTGGGAAAACGGACGGTGGCACGTCGAAAAACCTAAGGAGAGACCTTGGTTCCCCCACGTGCTGATTTGGGTTGGCCGAAAAAATTGCCGGTGTTGACGTGGACGATAGCAGAATACAAGGCCTTCAGTAGAGGCACGTGTGCCCCACTCGCCGAGCACTACAGCCTACACGCAGCTCCACGCACCCGCGAGTATAGGAGTACTTGCTTTCCTAGCGAGGCCAGGGATTTCGCAAGTTTCAGCTTGACTTTCATAGCTCGATTCTTAACCAATTTCAGTGATTTAAGAACCTAAATGAAGTTACGAATGTAGGGAATCGATACATACCTATTGGAGGTCATGACATGGCCAGAGTTGGCCAAAAAATGCATTTGAAAGTGTCCAAATCTGGGAAATTATTCCCGAGGTGTTTCCTGCATCTAACACTCGATTAACACTTACCAACTACTCTAATCTAACCCTAAAACATGATCTAGAAGATTTTAGGTGCTTACCTGCGTCGAGGATGGCGAGAACTTGCCATGGTTCATCGGGGAAGACGATAAACAATGGTTGTCGAATAAGAGAAAGTGAGATCATAGAGAGGTGAGAGATGAAGGAAAGAAGGTCCATAGATAGGAGATGGTGCTCGCCGGAGTGGTGGGGCAAGTAGGGGTGGAGGCAATGTTGTCGTTGTTGGTTATGCGAGCTCGAAGAGAGTGTTGTAGAGATGAGGAGGATAGACAAAGAGAGAGAGAGAGAGAGTTCTAGATAGAGTCTTCACTAGGTAGAGAAAGGACAAAAAAGTGAAGGAATAATAGAGAGAGGGTCGGGAGACAAGAAAAGATGAAATATAAAAATATCACATGAGAATTAAAATTACCAAAATGCCCTTACGATTCAAATTTCGTAAAATCTTTGTTCTAGCTTCAAATTCAAAACCAATTGTGCCCACGCATTCGTAGTGACGAGTACTACAAGGATACACCAAGGAAACGAATCTTACATGACATGACAAAGTGGTCAACAAAGTCAACATTTTTCGCCTCGAAGGGCATTTTTGTAAATTCACATTTTAAAATTATAAAAATAGTAAAATTTGGGATAGGCCGTTACAGATTCTCTAGTAACAGGTGGTAATTGAATTCATTGAATTGGTGTCCTCCAAGAATCAAACTTTTGTTCCTAAATTGTGCTCAATTCGTCTTCTACAAATCCACCCAAATTGGGAGGTGGCGGGGTGGTGGGAGGACATGTGAATACGGGGTGAAGCGGTGGGAGGATATGGGAATATGGGAGGTTGTGGGGGCTAGGGAAGAAGAAGATATGGAGGAAAGGGGGAGCGTGGAGGACTTATGAGTATGATGAGTGGTGGGAAGAGCTGTGCGGGTTGGAAAAGAAAAAGGCAACAAGGATGAAACGAAGAGGCATGGGAGGGCTCTGAAAGTTGGTGAAGAAAAGAATAGATGGGATGAAAGGATGGGAGGGAGAAAGGATAAATTTACAAATACAAATTTATTTTTATAGATAAACTATTTTCAATAAGAGCAGATCCACCCCACACTTTTTTGCCCACCACCCTGTCCAATTAGCAGCCCAGCACCCAGTCCAAACCCACTAGCCCGTGAAACAGCCTGGCACCCAGCCCACGCCAAGCAGCAGGCCAACCCATTTCGGACAGACCCAGAAGTCGGTCCATTTCCCTGGCGCGTGCACAACACTCGCGACTGGGCGCGAGTAGCCGACAGCGCTGCAGCGCGGGCCCCGCGTGTCAGCGCAAGTGGGTTCGAACCAGTGAGGGCCGCGTGGCCCTTCTCAGAGTCATTGGATTCCAACGGCTAGTTTTTGTAGGTCGTTGGATTTCCAATGGTAAAAAAAAAATTTAATTTGACTTTTAAAATGGACCGTCCGATCACAGATCGACGGTCCACGTTTTTTTCACCAAAAAAAAAAAAGGCCCAATGGTCAGAATTTTGACCGTTGGCCACGTGGCAGCTTATTGGTTGTTGGATTTGATTATTTTTCAAATCCAACGGTCCAGATTAATTACAACATTAAAATTTATTAAAAAATAATTAAAAATTGTGAAATTTTTTAAAAAAATACAGAAAATTTTTAAAAAATTAATTTTTTTTTTCTATAAATACCTAACCCTCATCTTATGTAATTTCTTATTTACTTTTACAACTTTATTAAATTTGTTATGTAATTTCTTATTTACTTTTACAACTTTATTTAATTTCTCATGTAATTTCTTATTTATTTTTAGAACTTTATTTAATTTCTTATGTAATTCAAAAAATCTTAGCGGAAATCTATTCAAAAAATAATACGTTCGGATAATGACACATGACGTGACGAGATTGGTTAAAAATCCTATCCGAAATTTAAACTATTTTTTTATTTATTATTTTATAAAAAAATTATTTAATATTTTAAATGGACTGGGTGCCAGCGCATTTTGTAGGGGTGGAGATCGTTTGTGCCAGCGCATTTTTAGACTGGGTGCCAGCACATTTTTTTTGGGGTGGAGATGCTTTGGCCTATTACTGTTCATTGGGTCTATTACTGTTCAATTAAGTGGATAAATGGG